AGATGAGGCTCCAACAGACCAATACTATGGGGTGGACAACATTGGGGATAGTCCAATCTGTACACACTTGACCCCCAGTCCACATCTATGGAAATGCTGGTAGAATCAAGTGACAGCAGCCAGACTGCTTACATCCAAACTACTCAAAAGGGATCCTTTCATATTTTGTTACTGTTACCAAAATTTTTGGGAACCCATTTCTGCTTCCATATTCCATTTTGGGATAACAATCTCTGTAGTTTATTATCCACTCTGCAAGAGGATTCATTTGATTTGCTCAGCTTGTTTGTCCCCTCCTGCCTTGCTTCTAACCGCCCCCCCCCCCCCACCACCACTACCAATCTTCTGACAGGGCTTCTCAGGAATGCACAGCCTGCAAGGGGGGTGGGGGATGGACAGGGAGGGAGGTGACTCATTCACTCCTCTCCCATCAGCTATATAAGGTCACAAGGGGGGCAGGGAGGGAGGGGCAGGTCTCTCAGCCAGAGGGGCAGGTCTCTCAGCCAGAGGGGCCTCTGGGGAAGGGGACCAGTCACAGCCCATCCCTTGGGCTCAGCAGCAGGGCTGGGATTTCTCTCCTGATGGCAGGGATGTTTGATGGAAGTTGCCAGCAAACATGAGTTATTTAGGGAAAGTGGGGGTAGGGATGGGTCCTCCAATCCCTGAGCCAGTGGGTTGGGACAGTGAGCAGGGACAGGGCACACCAGTCCTTGAGAAGCAGGGCCCTGAGAGAGGGGAAAAGGTCTGAAAGAGGACAGAGGGTGAGGTGACTGGGTGTAGGGAACTCTGCTGCTTCTTCCCCACCCCCAACGAAACACAGCAGGACTGCTTCCTTATTCTCTCACCACATCCTGAGCACAGTTCTGGCAGGCCCATGGCCTAGAGTTCCCCACTCAGCCCCACCAGCCTTCCGGCCCCCACCCCAGGCTTCCTGTTTGGGCGATCTGCTTCCGGCCCCCTACTCCCTGACCTAGGTATGGTCACCATCACTGGTCCTGCTCTGCACTGGGTTCCTGGTTCTCTTCAGATAGTCCCTGAGCTTCAGGGTCCAAAGCTTCATGCCTCCCTCTGTTCATTCCCCAAAGGCACAAGCCTCCTGGAAGCACTAGCCAACCTCAGTAGGAAGTGACTTTTCTGAACACTTCAGCCTAGGAGAATTTCCTGTCCTCCCTCCTTTGTATCTGCCCATCACTGAAGAGTGTCAGAGGTCTCAGGTAGATTCCCAGGTACCAGGGCTCAGGGATGGGAGCTTCAGTTTCTGTGAAGATGAACTCGGATCCAGTACCTCCCCCTAGAGCTTCTCCTAGATCTTTAGTCCTTGTGGTTTCTCACTGACATTAAGGATTTAAAAAAAAAAAAAGGTGTTAACACATGGGATAAGGATGAGATGGGTTTTCCCAAACTCTGGGGAGATTCATGTTAGAAGGATAGACTTTTAGCTCTGAGACCTCTGATTGAGACCTCTCTCCTAGAGATTTTCAAGCTATAAACTAATTGATGTGTATAGGGATGGAGTTGAGCCAGGACCAGAAGTCAGCCTGGCTGCTCACATTTCCCGGCATGTCCTTGTTCAAGTCTAACCTGATCTATTAGCCTCAGTCCCCGCCCTGTCCTCAACTCCCACTGTACCCCAGCCAGTCCAAGCTTGGGGCCTCGGAAAGCACTTCTCTTTTTCTACCCCAAGGAGAGGGAGAGGGCAGGGTGTCAGGAAGAAAGGGGAAAACCATGGCTGAGCCAGTTCTGGGAGGGAGGGAAAGCCCAGGGAGGAAGGACAGAGGAGTGGGGGGTGGGGGCATTTGGGAAGAGGAGAAGGCTTTTCTTGTCCCAAGAGAGAAGGGAGCACTGTCTGAAGCAGTGGCCCAGCTGGGGGTGTGCAACCCCGAGGTCACCCTGTTCAAATGGCCTCTGTGTATGCCTCTCCCATGGGGCAGACTTGGGGTTCAAAAGCCTTCTCTCTGCTTTTTAGCCAGCCCTTCCCATCACCCCTCCTCCCTCTATCCTAGGATGTCCCCACTCAGCTCTGCCTTCCTCTTCCTAGGGCTGTGAGACCTTCCCCCCACTCAATGCTTCCTGCCTTTTCTCTGTAGAGCCCAGACCCTTGTCTTCCGCCTCCCAAGCCTGCTGCCTCCACATTCTCTCCTCTCCAAAGCTGAGCTTTCACCCTGGCAAACTGCCCTCTTTTCCCACCACATGGGCCTGGGTGGGTCACAGACTCAGAGGAAAGGAAAGAAAGGTGTATGGTGATGGTGGGGACACAACCCAGAGCCTGAGGGTAAGGAGAATGAGCAGCCTGGGCACACCCTGAAAATGACACACCCGGGCACAGTGGTTGATTGCTGGGCAGACTCTTGGGGCTGCAAAATGAATGGCAAAGGAGGGCTACCAGAGGAAGGGTGTGTGTGCAGAGGGAGGAAGGGAGGTGGCAGGAATTAACAAGAATAGAGGAAGACAAGAATACAGTGTATAAAAAAGCAAGAAAGACCAGAGTCCAGAGAGAATTGGCAAGTGGATTTCTAAGAAGTCTGGCTTGGCTGCTCCCCTACCTGTTTGTGATGTCTTTCAGGGGACCCCTTGACAAGGCAGCTGCGGCTGAGACGAAGGTAGCCCCCAAGAACCAAGATCTCCTCAGCAGTCGGGTACCGCTTCTTCCCAGCCCCAGGAACTGCAGCATCACCTGTGGCTGGGGCAGCTGGAGTGGCTGGGCTTGCAGTGGGCATAGAGCGCCTGGGGTTGACTGTGAAGGTGTGTCCACTGCGGCGGGGGGCCCCCACCCCTGGCCCTGCCTTCACCCCATAAAACAGACGGCTCATGAGGGGATCCCCAGGAGGCTGGGGAGCACTTGGGGCTAGGGGTGGGGGAGACAGAGGGGCTGATGGTGGGGGCCTGAGTTCCACTGCTTCCTCTTCCTGCTGTCTCGAGCCTCCTCCAGTCCCAGCGTCCTCTGGTGGGAGGGGGGAGGGGACAGAACAGTGGTTCTGCAAGGCTCTCAGAGGCCTGCTCTGAGCCCCCGACTCCTCCTTCTCAGCCTCCCCTTCTCCGGCCTCTATACTAGGAGGCCCCAGATGCCTCTCAACAGACTCTGGAGATTCTGATTTCTGAGTTTGAGTCTCTATATATGTGGGTGTCCACTCTCGAGCCTTCCCGGAGTTCAGGGTCCATTTCCATCCTTCAGTTGTCTTCAAGCCCCTCTCACCATCCTCCACAGGGCTGGGCCTCTGTTCTGCTGTCTCCACTCTTCTGGAGATGTTGTCATGAGCCTCCCTTGTTAGGGTCTCTGATAACTCTGTAATCTCTTCTGGGGTCATCCCTTGAATTGTCCTCTCTTCTTTTCTCCTACATTGATCCAAACAGTCTTTTCTGTCTTCTGAGCTCAGTCTCCACTCAAATGCCTCCAGTTGTACTAAACTCTGTTCCTGAGACTCTCTGGAGTCAGGCCTCCATTTATGAGCCTCTGTCAGGCCCAACTTCTGGTTGCCAGACTCCCCTGGGCTCAGTCTACTTTCCATCACCTCTTTTCTCCTGGGACTTTGTTCTCCAGGCTCCGCTAGCCTCATACTCCATTCTGGAGTTTCTCCAGGACTTAGCTTCCATTTTCGTGCTTCTGACAGCCTTGAGCTTCTGTCTACCACTTCTCCTGGGCTTTGCCTCCAGTCTCTAGTCTCCAAAGGCCTGGGACTTGACTCTTGGGCTCCTCCTATCCCGAGCCTCCTCTCTCTGACTTCCCTGGGACTTAGCCTCTCTTCTCTTGACTCTCTTCCCTTGGGGCTCTGATCCCTTGAATTCCCAGGGCTGGGTCTCCGATCTCGGGCCTCCAGAGGCCCAGCCTTTCTCTCAGCAAGCAGCTCTTCATTCCGCTGCTGCTGCTGCTGCTGTTGCCGCTCCTGCCGAATGAATCGGTTCTGGTGCACTGGCCCAATGGCCTCCAGAAGAACAGCGGACTCGTCTGGGTCTGGAGGTCCAGCCTCTGAAGTCCCAGACATAGGGCTAGGCTCCCCAGGAGACAGGCTAAGCTTGGCCCGGCGGCGCTCCAGAAGTCCCCGTTTCCAGGCTGGCATCTGGGACAGGCGATCCAGCTCTGCCTTCTCCCGGCCACGAACTGCTGCCTCCTCCTGCCGACGCCGGGCTAGCAGCTGTAGCTTCCAGTCTGGGATAGTGGCCATGGTCTCCGGGAGGTAAGGGTAGGGAACGCTGGGGGCAAACAACCGGAAGAGAGGCTTCAGAGAGGCCCAAGGGGTGAGACTGGGTTGTGGGGAGGAAATGGAGGATTGAGGTGGGATACAGAGAAGGGCAGAGGAGCTGGGGATGAGGTCAGAGGGAAAGGGATAAGAAGGAGGGCAGAAAAGTGAGGACGAGAAGCTGTTCAACCAAGTTGAGGAGAGGTGATGTGAAAGGAAGTCAAAATTTAAAGGCAGGAGCCAGATTGGATAGTAAAGGGTTAATGAGTATTAAAGACAGTTTCAATAATGTAAGGAGAGAAAAGGGCTAAAAGAGAGCTGGGGTGAAAGAGATGAGAGAAAAGAATGGCTGGGGTTTAGAGGGGACCGGGTACAGGAGAGGCTGCCTCAACGACACTGGCGGAAGGTGAGAATGGGAAGGAAAGACGGGGAATCCCGCCAGAGAGGGATAGACGGGATCTGAGGGGATTCGGGAAGGTAAGGAAAAGTGGAGAGTGAAAAGGGGAGAAGGGGAATTCAGGGGGCAATGGTTAAGGGAGCGCCGCGGCAGCAGGCCGGCGGGTCTCAGCGCGGGCCCCAAAGATCCCGGCTCCTTTCCCGGCTAGGTTCGGGCCCCGCCTCTCGGGCCCTCCAGCCCCCACCCCTCCGCCGTGCACTCCGCCCCCAAGGCGGGTCAGGGGAAATACCCTCCCTGGGGGACTTTTGGAACACCGGCGACTGCGATGCCATCACGTTCCCAGAACCCTGGCGTCCACCCCCATCCAGTCCGATCACTACCGTCAGCCTCCCCCACCGGCTGAGCCCCAGGACCCAGGCATGCTGAAGACCGGATCCACGCCTCTTCGGTCCTGAGCCTGCAAGTCCGTGGCTGGCTCCCGGCTCTCATGGAACCCTGACATAGCAAGCCATCCCCGCCCGGCGCGGTCAGCATACAATCTCGGCACAAAGAGGAGACAGCCCAAGGTCCGGGACTCGGACGGGAGCGGGGACGGGAGCAAGAAGACACCCCTGTCCCCAAGTCAGTCCCTCAGTCAACTCACACGTTCCCGGGGGAGGGGATGCGAGGAGCCAGGCGTCGGGAGAGAGGAGGAGAGAGGAAGAGGAGGAGAGAGGTAGCGAGGGAGATCCGGAGACTAGAGGGAGGGGTGAAGGGAGGGAGAGGAGGAGGCAAAGAGGAGGAGGGACAGAGACAGAGACCAGGGGGCCGGGCGGGGGGCGGCGACAGCTTTGTCTAAGGACAATGCCGAGAGGAAAGGGGGCGCAGGGCGGAGCCCGAGGAGGGGGCGGGGCCTCACTTCCATCCACCGCGCGTGGGACTCTGCTCTAGGACTCCCCTGTTTCTGTGGCAATCACGGGTTCTCGGCTCTCAAACCCCAGGGCCCCTCAACAGCTTCCCGCCCTGTAGTCCAGGAGAACCTTGGTGTCCAGACCCCCGCCCCCACCCAGCTCCCCAACCCAGGGCGGCGGCCCGTGACTCAGGCCCCTCTAGGGACTCGGGGAGGAAGCGCCAGCTGCTGCGAACCGGGCCCGCCCTTCCCATCTCTGGCCGCTCCTCCCCACGCTTTTGCCTTCCCGGGCCAGCCTTTGTTGCTGTGGGTCGAGGGCCGTCTCCAGACAGGAGGAGGTCTGTAGGGAAGGAGGCTGCAGGAGCAGTGCTCAGAAGCAAATGGCTTTGGAAGCTCTCTTCCCTTCCAGAGCTGCGGTCCCCTCCGTTTTTAGTTTTACCCTGTCTCCTTTGCGTCTCCGGTTCTGCAGAGGGAAAACTGGGGAATTTGGAGGAAGCAGGACTGGGCGGTTTGGAGGTGGGGGTGAGCCCATGGAGCTTGGCTGCAGCCCAGAGGGTAGCCAGTGGGTGAGGTGGCTCCCAAACTGGAGCTTGGTGCTCCCAGGCTCTGGCTCGCCTTCCCAAACTCAGCCCTGTAGATTGAGACGTCGCAGAGTAAAGAATACCACATGTAGAAAAACGAGGCTTTTATTTTCCTGCAGCAAGTGTTTCTCAGGAGAGCAGGGAACCCCAAGTCACCCAAGTTAAGAGCAGGAGAATCCGCTCCACTAGGTTGCCGTGGCGAGGGTTGCAGGGGAGAGGGGGGGTAGTGGGATTCAGCCCTGGGGCGGAGCCTTGGGAGGTGGAGAGACTAGGGTAGGAGTGGAGAGCATGACTGGAGTCTAGACCCGGCGGCCACTACTGGCAAACTTGCACACAGATTCTGGCCCAGGAGTGGAAGCTGGAGATGGAGAAGGGGATCCCTGAGGCACAGAGATGAATAAGAGTGCCAGGGAAACAGTCAGGGCAGACCCATTTCCTTGTGAGGAGGCAGGTCAGGCCCTAAACTGTGAGGAGGGGAATGAAGTCTACACCCTCTGTTCCTGGCTGGTGAGAACTGGACCTTGGAATCTAGTGGCCAAAACTCGGAATTTAGGGTATGGAGCTGGACTGGAGGAATGAAGTCTCAAGCAGTAGAAGGGACAGCTCCTTCAGTCCATGGCATTGAGCCTCAGGTCTGAAGCAATCAGGGCCTGGGATGTTAAGGATTTGAATTTGAGGAGTAGAGAAAGTACAGGGCTTGGAATCAGAGTTAACTCCTCATTCTGTCTCCCCATCTTGGGGCCGGGAGAGCAGGTGAAGTTTTCTTTGTAGCTGAGCCCTGAGGTAGCGGAGGTCTTGCTGGTCAAGCCCATGAGCTAGGCCCAGATAGAGGGTAAGAAGGAGAGCAAGGAGGAGGCGGTCAGTGCCCAGAGTGGGTACCACCCACAGCACAGTCAGCAGTTCCACACACACTGGGTGGCGCAGGTGGGAAAAGAGCCTCAGAGCTCGGGGAGACTTCAGTGCCAGAGGCTCACCCAGGCCCAGCACATGGTAGTAGACCTAAGAGAAGGAGAATGGCTTAGAAATGGAGTCAAACCCTTTTTCCAATTTAGCTGTTTCTTTCTCTTTCTTCCAGGCACCACCCTCCTGGAAATCAGGCCCAAGAACCTCATTCTGAGACTCCACCCCCTGACCCTGATCTCTGATTCATGTGACTTCCCCAGACCCAGGATACCCATGGATGCTGGCCTTTGAGGAACCACTCTTATAAGAAGAGAGGGACTGGGGATATAGCTCAGCTGGAAGAATGCTTGCCTTGCATGCACAAGGAAGGCCCTGGGTTTGATCCCCAGCACCACAAAAAGAAAAAAAAAAAAAAAAAAAAGAGATCCCTAGCACCACAAAAAGAAAAAAGAAAGAAAGAAAGAAAGAGAGAGGAGAGAATAAAAAGCAAGGGAGAAAGTAGAATAGCAGGGGGGCAGGCAGGTGGAAGAGGAAAATCTTTGGAAAGAATTCTAAATGGGGTCAGAGGTCTTAGGTAGGGATTTGGAAGCCTCACCTGTTTGAGGCCCATGAGCTCAGCGTAGTCAAAGACGAGAAGAATGCTGAAGATGAGGAGCCAGGAAATGACGTGGAGCACAAAGCAGAGGAGGGGCACCCAGGTGGCCCATGGCTCTGCCCGAGCCTCCCACAACACTGGGCCTCTGGGTACAGGTTCCCAGTACCGCATCACCAACTGGAGAAGGATGAGGAACTAAGTATCCCAGCAGCCAACCTGCCTACTTTTAAGAAACCCAGACCCAGAGCCTGTTCCCCTTTCCCACTTATGAGGGTGCTGAGTAAGCTCCCATGAAAGTGAGGATGACCTGTATCCACACTGAGGATTTACAGAATGGATAGGGATTTACAGAATGGATGGGGATGACCTGATAGGTGCCTGATAGTACTAGGCACCCAAAGAGAAGATAGGTAACTACTAAATGAAAAGCAAGCTTTCTCTTGAAACCTAGGGAGGTGGTTTGAAAGAAATGGTAGGACTGAAAAGGAATTAAGGAGGGGATTTCAAGCAGGATAATGTGAACAAAGTTGCAAAGGTGAGAATGCACATCTTGTGCTTAGGGAATGATAAGTACACCCTTCTTGATAAAAAGTAGGATATGTGCCATGAAGGAATAGAAGCTAAGATTAGCATCCTCAGTTCTCTTCTCAAAATCATAGTTTGCCTCACCAGTCCAGGGGGTGCCTCCCACAGATTGTCTCCCTTGGGGACTCAGCTGCCATGTCCTCATACCTGCAAGGCCAGAGCAGTGCATGCCACATACAGTGACCTCTGAAGGACCCCAAAGTACTGGGATGTCCATGCCTTCACTGTCTCAGTCGCCATGAGGCTGTGCTGCCCAACAAAGAGTAGCAGGAGCCCCAGATCCCAAGCCAGGGAGGCAAGTACACTGCGGTCCTTCAGGGCAGCCAGCCATCCCTGGCGGGCATCTGGAGGAGTTGAGGGAGAAAGGGACAAACATCAAGAAGATAAATAGAAAATCTCCCCTTACCCTCATTTCCCATTGGGGTCCCAGACCATGTCCCTTAATGGTTTCAAAGCGTTAATGTTTTCCATCTAGGCTGGCCCCTCTCACTTTACCATCCCTTGTATTTCCCCCTCTACCCTAGGCCTCCATCAGACCTGGGAAAGAGAATTCATAGAAAAATGCATGTTGGATTGTCACTAAAAGCATGGCTGGAGAGGATTCTCTGGATCGCCCCTTTGTAACACTTCCCTCTCCGCAGTTTTCTCTACAAAATACTTTTCTTAGAATATTGTCTATAGCCCTTTCCCTCCCGCTCAGTCTTTAGTCTCGCGGTTCGCCAAACCATTCCTATGGTCCCTCTACCCTGCAGCTTTTGAGCAGCTTTCGCGATTCCAGTTCCCTCGCTCAGACTTCCACTGTCATTTGTCTCCAAGCTCCGCCCTCGCACCCTCTTCTCCGGCTCCACCTCCCTGTTTCAAAGCTAGTACTCGATTCCTCCCTCTCACCCGGACTACCGGAATCCGGGATCCCTCCGAGAAGTGGTCGAAGGGAGGTAAAACGCACGAACTCCACTCCAGTGCCAAAGGCCAGGATGAAAGAAGCAAGGGCAGCTGGCACCAGCAGTAGTGCAGGGGCCATGGCGAGAAATGGAGGGGTGGGGAAAGGGGCGGGTTTGGGATTCCCGCGGCAGCAGGCCCCGCCCCCCGCCCGGGGACACGCCTAGGAGGGCGGGGCTCCTGCACGCAGACACCGGGTTTCCGGCTCGCCCGCGCGCGCGGCTTTCCCAGCCCGAAGGCAGTGCAGAAGCTGGGGTTCGTTTCCCGAGCTTGCGATGTTCGCGTCACAGAAGGGAATGTTAGAACCCCCAGGGAAGTGGTAAGGACAGCAGTTCTGCTGCCACCCACATGGATTGACTCCCAGTTGGGCTAGTTTTCCCATCGAAAAAAATGAAGACAGTTCCTCTCTGGCAGTTGTGGAAACAGAACTTTAGGAGCCCCCTTTTCGATTGGGCGCGGTGGCTGGCTCCTGTAATTCCCGCGACATGAGAGGTTGAGGCTAGAGGATCGCAAATTCGAGGCCAGCCATGGCACTTTAGTGAGACAGGATATAGCTCAGTGGTATAGCGCCCTGGGTTCTATTCCCAGTTCAGCATAAACAAAAAAACTCTTTAATTTAGCCGTGACTGGAAAACAATGGGGGCTAACATTACAAATCCTCAGTTAAGACTTCAATAATGAACGGCGAGAGAACGGATTTTGACCCAGGGTGAGAACCTCAAGCTCTGAATCACCTATTATATCTTGTAAGATTGGTTTGTTTAGGGTACTAGGGATTGAACCCAGGGGCGCATCAACACTGAGCTACATCCCTAACCCATTTTATTTTTTAAGACAGGGCCTTGCTAAGTTGCTTAGGATTTTGCTAAACTGCTGAGGCTTGCTTTGAATTTTCAATTATTCTGCCTCAGCCTCCCAAACTGCTGGGATTACAGGCCTGCACCACAACACTTGGCAGTTTGTTTTTTGGTACCGGGGATTGAACTCAGGGGCACACAACCACTGAGCCACATCCTCAGCCCTATTTTATATTTTATTTAGAGACATGGTCTCACGGTGTTGCTTAACACCTTGCTTTTGCTGAGGGTGTTTTTGAACTCGCGATCATCCTGCCTCAGTCTCTCAAGCTGCTGAGATTACAGGTGTGCGCCACCGCGCCTGGCTATTTTGTTAATAATTATTTATTTTGCGATGCTGGGGATGAACTCGGGCTCCCACAAGAAGGGCAAAAGCTCAACCTCTAAGCTACATTATCAGCCTCTAATAAGTGGCAAAGATTGTATCCATGGTAGTAAAACTGTTAAAATATTTGTGGTGCAAAACTATTAATTTATTACAGTTGTAAACTAAGTAATTTTATACAAGCTTGTAATAATTGACACTGACTTTATTCTGCAACTTCATTAGTTTGACTCCACTAAGGTCTTTTAACATTTCCTATAGACTGCTTATAATTACCTACAGATTAATATTAATATTTAAAAAGCAAATTACAAGTAAACTTCATCAGGGGCTGTGGTTGTAGCTCAGTGTTAGAGCACTTGCCTAGCATTTCTGAGGCACTGGGTTCGATCCTCAGCACCACATAAACATAAATAAAGGGATATATATAAAGTTCATCAGAATTAAAGATCATATAGTAAGTAACTATGTACATATATGGACCTTAGTTATCATTAAGCTTACTCCCTATGCAGGGTGAGGTGGCCAATGCCTGTAATCCCAGTGATTTGGGAGGCTGTGACAGCTCCCAAATTGGAGGCCAGCCTCCGCAATTTAACAAGGCCCTAAGCAACTTAGCAAGAGACCCTGTCTCAAAAACAAGTGAACGAATAAACCAACAAACTCACTCCCTCAACTTTTATTGCACAAGATGAGAGTTAAAGAAAGCTGTTAATCTTGTGGGTAAAGTGATGTGAAAACTGCTAAAGAGCACTAAGGAACCTCCCACAGGCTCTGCATTCCTCCTTCCCTCTCAAGAGATAAGTATTCCCATATTCCTCTGCATCGATGCCATCATATATATTGCACCAAACATAGACTCACTCTCCACCCTGCTTTCTGCATAGGAAAGTGGTCCTGAATGGACTACACCAACGAAAGTCACAATATTTATTCAGGAAGTCCTTCCTCTCACATAATTGCTCTCATCTTTTTGAGTTCAGGCTGTAGCAGAGCTGTGGACACTGCAATATTAAGATTTCCCTAAACCCTATTTACTTCTTTGAATTATAAACACTTCCCCCAAATTTTCTAATAAATTGTACCATCGATTTCCTACTAGGATCGTGACAAATAGATATTATACAGAGCAATGTGCTAAAGTATGGGATTCATTGAAAGTGTAAGAAAAGATTCCTATCCCTATTCTCTAGAAGTTTAAATTGACCAAATAGAAAGAAGTACAACCCCCCCCCCCTTTTTTTTTTGGTATCAGGGACTGGACTTAGTTTAACTCAGCTGAGTCACATCCCCAGCCCTTTTTTATATTTTATATAGACAGGGTCTCACTAAATTGCTCAGGTCCTTGCTAAGTTGCCAAGGCTGGTTTTGAATTTGCAATCATCCTGCCTAAGCCTCCCTAGTCACTGGGATTATAGGCATGTTCCAAGGTGCCTGACTACCTGAATGTTAAATGCTTCTAGAGACAGTAGGTGTTATATGGAATCCTGTAAGCCTCAGGGATATGGAAAATTTCATTTGCCAAAAGGGGACCAGTATTTAGGTCCTACTGTGCGCCACACTCACAATGGCTATGTTCAGTATATAAGATGAGTAGTAGTTTAAAAACCAGTCTGGGCATGGTGGTGCAACCCTTGATCCCAGCAACTTGGGAGGCTGAGGCAGGAAGATTGCAAGTTTAAGACCAGCCTCAGCAAATTAAAAATGCCCTAAACAACTCAGTGAGACCCTGTCTCAAAATAAAAAATAAAAATAAAAAAAAGCACCCTGGATTCAATCTCCAGTTCCAAAAAATAAATTAAAATTTTTTGAAAAGGCAGCACAGTACTGGAATATATTCAGTGATAAACTGCTTGCCTAGCATGCACAAGGCCCTGAATTAGATTCCCAGATCTTAAAAAAAAAAAAAAAGAAAAAAAGAAAAGTTAACAGTGTTTTGGCAAAGCTTGCATTATTTCTACTACACCATTTTTCCAAGCTTAAGCATACTTTACATGCAGAAAAAGTATACAAATAAATTTATTTATTTTTTATTGAAGTAAAATTCACAGGACATAAAACTAATTCCTTTAAAGAGAATACAATGGCTTTTAGTAACATTTGCAAATGGGCATAACTACCACCTCTATTTAATTCCAAAATATAACTCCAGACCCACGAAGCAGTGACTACCCATTGTTTCCTCTCCAGCCTCTGGCAACCACCAATATTGCTTAGTCTCTACAGTTTTATCATTCTAGATGTTTCATGGAAGTGTAATCATATAATATGTGTCCTTTTGTGTCTGGCTTCTTTTACTTAGCAAAATGTTTTTAAGGCTAATCCTTAAAATATTGCAGCACTTTTCAGTACTGCATCCCTTTTTATGGTTGAATAATATTCCACGTATGCATATGTCATTTTTTTATCCATTCATCCTTGTTGAACATTTGTATTATATCCATCTTTTGGCTATTATGGAAAATGCTGATATTAACACCTTGTAATTGACCAACTTTTAATATTACATAATTTGTCCTAAATAGAAAATAACAGTAAATTAAATAGTTTCCTAACTATTTTTTAAAAAGGGTGTCTCAAAACCAGACATTTAAAAACAAACAAAAAGAAAACTGCACCACACCATAAGGCACAGAGTGAATATTTATTGATCACAGAGATCAGGCCGAAGGTCTAATTTTATAAATACTGAAAAAGCAGGCCAGAAAAGTGCAGAGAATTGCTCAAAGATAAAGCTAAGGATGCTCCTAAGCAGGTGGGATGGGAGCGAGAAAAATATTTTAGTATTATTCCACAATTCCACCTCATATCTACTCACTCCAAGTATCCCTTCAAGTGCCTAATGCCAAAGTTGTATTCACTATTTTTCGAGGACAAGTAAGAATTCCAGAAAAGGAGAGAGATGGCTTCCAAGTTGGAGGCAGGAGAGTGTGCCATAGAGTAATAATTACATCAGTCTGGCTAAAGACAAGCATCCATTAAGATATATGAGCATGGGATTAGTCAATTTTTTGTTGTTTTGGGGTAGTGCTGGGGCTCAAACCCAGGGCCTCATGCATGCTAGGCAAGTGCTCTACCACTGAGCTACACTCCTATTCCAGGATTGGCTGATTTTAAAATGGCCATTTCAGAAAATCTGTGGGTCCAAATCTCCCCGTTTTCCCATAAACCTTCTGGTCCCAACCATTTCCATCATAAGTCATATCAATACACCCCAGTGTTTTCTAAAGTCCTGAGTTTTTTTTTTTTTTTTCCCCAATTGTTTTCTAGAAAACTTTACTGTCTGGTAGGGAAAAGGGTGCTGGAATTTTCAGGTGGAACGCATTTCCAAAGTGGAGAGGACAAAGGCCTCTGGCTTGGCTTCCTGCTTCAGCACTCCTGTCAGTAGGAACTCAGGAGAGAGGAGGGGCAGCCCAACCCGAGATGGAATGGAGCATCGTGGGAAGTCCTGGGGGCATGTGATCACAACTCTTTGAGGCTGGGGAAGAGAGAGCAAAGAAAGAAGTCAGGGGGGATAAACAGTTCTAGAAATAGATTCAGGACCCATTAATCAGGGATAGCATCACTGAAGTGGTACCTCCTGACATGAAGCTCATTGTACTTATTGCCTATAAAATATTCTCTTTTTCTTTTTAGTGGTGTTGTGATTGAACCCACTTGCTAGGCAAGTGCTATACCACTGAGCCACATCCCCAGTCCTTTTTATTTTGAAACAAGGTCTTGCTAAATTGTTCCAGGAAGACTTCTGATTTTTTTCGTCTTCGCCTCCCAAGTAGCTGGCTATCTGTGAAGTATTCTTGCCAGAAAGGCTGCTCTTGAATTCATCCTAACTCTTAAAATTAGCCAAGCAGGGTGGTGCACATCAGTACCTTGGCAGGCCTAGGCAGCTTAGATGCTATCTCAAAATGAAAACTTAAAAAAAAAAAAAAAAAAGAGCCACACACGGTGGCACACTCCTGTAATCCCAGTGGCTCGGGAGGCTGAGACAAGAGAATCGCAAATTCAAAGCCAGCCTCGGCAATGGTGAGGCACTAACCAACTCAGTGACACCCTGTCTCTAAATAAAAAATACAAAATAGGGCTGGGGATGTGGCTCAGTGGTCGAGTGCCCCTGAGTTCAGTCCCCAGTACCCAAGGGGGAAAAAAAAAAGCAGAAGAGAGTTTGGGGTGTAGCTCTGTGGTGAAGGGTCCCTAGATTCCATCCCTAGTACTTCAAATAAATAATTACAATTTATAGGAAATACATAAAATAGAGAATAAATAATATAGCACATAACAAGGGAACAAACTGGCAAATATTCTAAAGGATGACTGATCTAGTTTTGGCCGAAAGTGAATGGCATACAAAAGGCAGAATGAGTTAGGCGATGTTCCACAGTAAGAGGAGATTGAATAAATGCAAGTTGGACAAGGTAAAGCACACCTGTAATACCAATGGTTTAGGAGGCTGAGGCAGGAGGATCATGAGTTCAAAGTCAGCCTCAGCAACTTAGTGAGACCCTGTCTCAAAAGAAAAAATAAAAAGGGCTGAGGATGTAGTTCAGTGGTAAAGTGCACCTGGGTTCAATCCCAGGAACAAAAACAAACCAAAAACCAAAAAACACCCAAAAAACAAATGCAGCAATGCACTGGAGCATCTATTTTCTTTCTTTCTTTCTTTTTTTTTAATGCAGTGCTGGGGACCAAACCCAGGGCCTTGTGCATGCTAGGCAAGCACTCTACCACTGAGCTACATCCCCAATCCTTCTTGTTTTGTTGTTTTATTTTTAAGAGATGGGTGTCAGCTGGGTGTAATGGCACATGCCTGTAGTCCCTAGCTACTTGGGAGACTGAGGTGGGGGATCCCAAGTTTGAGGCATGCCTGGGAATCCTAGTGAGATCCTGTCTCAAAATAAAAAGTAAAAAGTGCTGGGGATGTAGCTCAGTGGTAGAATACCCTGGGTTAAATACTAAGTACTGACAAAAAACAGAGAGAGAAAAAAGAGAATGTACATATTTCTTGGAGATATATACTTAAGTATACAGAAGAAAGTAATACAGTAATATATTTGCAGTTTGCTTTAAAATACTTCAGCAAAGCTAAGCATGGTGGTGCATGCCTGTAATCCCAGTGATTCAGGAGGCTGAGGCAGAAGAATTGCAAGTTCAAGGCCAGCCTCAGCATCGTAGTGAGGCCCTGAGAAACTTAGCATGACCCTGTCTCAAAATAAAAAATAGAAAGGACTGGGGGCTCAGGGTTGTGTCTCAGTGGTAGGGCACTTGTCTGGCATGTGTGAGGGACTGGATTTGATTCTCAGCACTGCATATAAATGAATGAATGAATGAATAAATAAATAAGAAAGGTTCATCAACAACTAAAAAGAAAGGGGGGGGGGGGATGGGGATGTAGCTCAGTGATAAAGTGCCCCTAGGTTTAATCCCTAGTACCAACTTCCCTCCCCCTCAAAAAAAACACTTCAATAAAGCTCGTCATAGTAGCATATGCCTATAGTCCCAGCTACTCAGAAGGCTGAAGTAGGGGGGAATCACTTAAGCCCAAAAGTTAAAATCCAGCCTGGGCAATAATAGTAAAACACATCTCAAAAAAAAAAAAAAAAGTAGGGGAAGGGTAAAGAAAAAAAAATTTTTCAGCAGAGTAAATGAAACAAAAGAACAAAGGGATAGATAATAAACGTAGCACATGCACAACTGAAAATGTATAAATACAAAATGAAACTAAGTCCATTTGGTGTCAGCAGATATGTTCCCTCATCCCTACCCTTTCCCATCTATACTTTTATATTTCCTCCAAATGTTCCCATTCCCACTACCTCTTCTGTTTGTTTGTTTTTGTGGTGCTGGAGATTAAACACAGGGCCTTGTGCATTGAGGCAAGCACTCTTCCAACTGAGCTATATCCCCAGCCCATCCTGCAACCTCTTTTAGTTACTCCTTCAGAAGACCCAGAATTCACCAACCATACCTTATAGGTCCGGGGCATGCTGGATAGGACAGTGCCTCCACAACAGCTGATGATCTCTCCCATCTGAGATGGTGGTGGCTGGACTCCAGGGGTCACGTGAATTTCATAGCCCTAAGAGAGAAAAATGGTGACAGTAGATATCTGCAACTGAAAGGCTGTGAGGCACTGTGAAACCCGTGCAAGGCAGAAGCACAGGACAGAAGATAGCCTCTCACCTCCAGTAGCCTTCGCTCCCGAGACCGGTGCAGGGCATCCCGAAGACTGAAGCCAAAATTCTTCTCTTGCTCAGGATCAGACACCACATATTGATCTGGAGGCAAGAAGCAACCAGCCTTGCGGGACTAAGGGAGGTAGCAATCAGCATCAGATCTCAGCCACACCCCACCTAGCACTCCTGCCTAGCAGCTGGTGACAGCACGTGAAATGTTTTTTGTATGAATCACTAAAGCCCCATTTCTCCGTCTCCTCTTTCCTCCCATTTTCCTACAGAGCTATGTAAGCAGTCTTCTCCTGTCACTCTTGCTATTGGTCTGTTATCATCTCCTGACCTCTCACCTGATGTAGCCAGTCCAGGGACAGGATGGGGATTCCCTTCCCTAGGGCACACAGGAACTTGACTGTTCGGCGGATTCGATCAGTAACCAAGTGGGAGGCCTCTGCCACTGAGCTGGCCAGACTCCCCCCCAGTGCCAGTACTGTCCGCTCCCCACGAGCATCCACAACTCCTGTGAAGAGAACCTGTTGGGGGATTAGACTGGGCTGGTCAGAGCAAGCTATGCCAGGAGTGCCCATCTCTCAAACCAGCTACCACCCTCCCTTTGTAACCCCAGTTCCCTTCTCTCCTACTTTAGGGACTGCTGATTCTTGGTTAGATTTGGTCCGTCGAAGGCTTCGGCTTGGTATTCCCTTGGGCTCCTCCTCTGTCTGGTCTCTCCTTCTCTTGTCTGGAATCACTATGTCCTGGTATTGAAAAATACCTTGGTGGGAGAGTCTGAGCCCTGAAGCTCTTCCTCCCAGCTTGGAGTCCTCCAGCCCTTTCCTCACCTCTTCCTTCACTGGCATCTCCTCAGGATCTTCTTCCTCCTCCTTGGGGAACATTGTCTCCTGGGAGACATCCCCTCTTTGGGGACGTTTTTGAAGAGGGGGTGAATCTATGGTTGTGGAAGGTCTCTTGCGGCTTCGAGAGGCCTTAGGTGGGGGCTCTGGGACGAACCCAGATGTACCTGCTGCTTCCACCTTTTGGATCTGGGAAGCATGAATGGGTGCCTCAGGAAGCTGGGGAAAGGAAGGCTCAGGAACGGTCCCAAGGCATTCAGCTGCTCTCTGTGCCCTTGGTCTTTGGTTCCTTGAGGATCGGCATTTAGGTTCAGGGGGTGCAGAGCTAGGTTTGTGGACAATGAGAGCTGTAAGGGAGCCATGCTTCCCAGAAGCTCTCTGTCTCCTGGAACAACTGGTTTGAGTGGGCTCAAAGGGAACAGGCTGGTCCTTGGTAACAGAAGGATGGAATTCAGGAGTGACAGGAAGTGTAGCAGCACTTAGTGCTGAAGACTCTAGTGCTCCACTCTGACATACTGCCTTAGAAGCGACAGGCTGGTCTGTGGAGTTGGGAGGCTCGAGATCAGGGGCTGATGGTTCAACTGGTTCAGGAGTCTCAACAGACTTACGTGTTCTGCCCCGACTGATTCTAGATATGGGCTTGTGGGTGATAGGCTGGTTTATGGAGGTGGAAGGCTGGAGTTCAGGGGCTGTGGTGACAACTACTTCAGGGGTCTTGACAGAAGACCTATGTGTCCTACCCCGAGTGGGCCAAGATGTGGATTTAGGGGTGACAGGTTGCTCTGCAGAGGTGGAAGGCTGGAGCTCAGGGGCTGTAGGTACAATTGGTTCAGGGGTCTTGACAGAGGACCTAAGTGTCCTGCCCCGAGTGACTCTGGATGTGAGCTGGGGGGCAACAGCCTGGTGGTCTGTGGAGGTAGATGGCTGGACTTTGGGGCCTGTGAGTAAGATTGGTTCAGGGGTCTTGACAGAAGTTCTGTGTGTCCTGCCCCGAGTGACTCGGGATGTGGGTTTGGGAATGACAGGCTGGTCTGTGGAAGCAGAAGACTGGAGTTCAGGGGTTATAGGGAATACTGGTTCAGGTGTGTTGACAGAGGACCTAAGTGACCTGCCCCGAGTAACTTGGGATGTGAGCTTAGGAGTGTCTGGCTGGTCTGTGGAGGTGGAAGGCTGGAGTTCAGGGGCTGTGTGGACAACTGATTCAGGGGTCTTGACAGAGGACCTATTTGTCTTGACCCGAGGGACTCGAGATGTAGGTGTGGGGGTAATGGGCTGCTCTGTGGGAGTGAAAGGCTGGAGTTCGGGGGTCTTGTCAGAGGACTTGTGTGTCCTTCCCTTAGTGGCACGAGATGTGGACTTAGGGGTGGCAGGCTGGGCTTTGGGGGCAATAGAGGAGAGTTCAAGGGCAGCGGAGGAAAGTGGAGAGGGTGTCATCCTGGAGGAGCGACGGGGCCTAACACTAGGCTTTGGGGGAAAAGGTTCCAGCTCTGAAGATAGGGGAGGCGCTGGAGTTTCTTGACTCCTTTTGTACCTGGTCCTAGGAATGGGTGGCTCAAAAGATGAAAGAGGAGAAAGAAGGGACTGAAGTTCAGGATGTTTTTGGCTCTGAGAGCTAAAGGAGTTGAGGGGTAGGGCTAAGGCTTCAGGCATTGTAGCAGGCAGGCAAGCATCTGGGGATTCTGGATCACCCTGGGGAAAAACAGAAACAAGGCAGGAAGGGTAATGAGAAAGAGAAATTGGGACACTGTTCCTGATCCTTGTTTATGGTGGAAGTGTGTCCTCTGGCATTTCTCTTCCTGTATGTGACCTCTCTTCCGTTAGACTGGGACCTCCCTGGGAGGAAGCAGTCCTCTTCCCTACAAAGCTCTCCTCATACTGTTCTCCACATGTGGGTGGTGGTACATGAAGAGGATGGTTGGGGCAAAGAAGGACAAAACATGAAAGGGACTACCTTTCTGAGTCAGAGGGAGATACTACTTGGGAAACAGGTATGGAAAACAATGGGGCAAAGCGATGGATGCCAACTAAGAAGGGATAATGATGGAAGAAAAGTGAGAATATGGGGAGAGGATTAGCTTAAAAGCATGGCCAGGAGAAGGGCATTGGTGGGATACAGGGATGACTTGCGGAATAGGAAGAAATCAAGAAAGTAACTCTCACCATGGAACTTGTCTCAGCAGGTAGCATCTTGTAATTCAAGTGGCCTGGACAGAAAGTAACAAAAGGGTAGTTGAGTTCTAAGTAGTTGGTTGCTCAGGGGTTGATTATCATGAGGGTTGCATACCACCTTGTGTTCCTTTCTGCCTTCACGTACCTCTCTGCTGCCTCCTGGGGCTCACCAGGGCTTCCCTTCCTCCACCTGACTGGTTCCCAGAAACTACAGGGACTGAAGCAAGTCCCTGAAGTTCCTCTGCCCCGACTCCAGGCTCTGGTGTTGGACTAGTAGCCTGTCCTTTCTGGTCTTGGTTTCCTCCCTCTGTCTCCCCTCTCTCCAAGTTCACTTCTAACTCAGCAGCTTCACACATTTTCTCTGGAACTGGTTTTTCTACTACTTTTTCAAATACTTCTCTTGTGAGGGTCTGCTTCTCTATCTCTGTCTTTTCTGTTTCCTCAGATATCTCCATTTCTACCTTCGAGTTCTCCCTATACCTTTCAGGACTCTTGCTTTTCGCCTTTTTGCCAGACTCTTGAGTGTCTTCAGCTAATGCCTGTTTTTGCTCTCTGTCCTGTATCCCTCTAGTTTTTTCCTCCTCCTCCATCACATCTTTTCTCTCTCCTTCTGGTGGCCCTTCCCTGATTTCCCTCTCCAGTGGCCCTTTCTCAGGGGTCACCCTCTCTGTTTCTTTTCGTGTACCCATGTCTTTCTCCACAGTCTGTATCTCTCTGCCTTGAATCCCCAACGGCTCTGTGTGAACTGGGCTCTCTGGATGTTGGTCTTGTGGTGTTGCCCTAGGTGGAGACAGGCAAGATCCATTAGCCTCAAGGTGGGTGGCTATGAGCTGAGGTTCAGTGGCCTCAGACTCTCTCGGACAGAACGGCTGTGTAGCCAAGACTTCCCATGGTTCATCCAAAGCACCTAAAAGTAAGGAGTCAGAGAGACAGAAAAAAAAGAGAGGTAGATAAAAAATGTTAAGGTTAAGAAGCAAATAAGATAAACTCATGGATAATAAATATTAAAGAAAAGCTGGGATAAGGGTGATAGCTAAAATATTTAATATTATAAAAAGACCATACATGGGGCTGGGATATAGTTCAGTGGTAAGGCATTTGCCTCATGTACCCAAATCTGTGGGTTCATTCCTAACGCCAAAACAAAAATGAAAACAAAAACTGACCATGCAGGGGCTGGGATTATGGCTCAGGGATAGAGTGCTTGCCTCATGTGCATGAGGCACTGGGTTCGATTCTCAACACCACATAAAAATAAATAAATAAAGGTATTGTGTCCATCTACAACTTTAAAAAATATTAAAACAAACAAACAAAATGACCATACATATATCCTCACAGGAAAGCTTCTTCAGTGGTCTCTCCCTCTCTCTCTCTTTTTTTTTTTGGTACTAAGGATTGAACCCAGGAGCACTTAACCACTGAGTCACACCCCCGGTCCTTCTTATATTTTATTTTGAGACAGGGTCTCGCTAAGTTGCTGAGACTGTCTTTGAACTTGTGCTCCTCCTGCATTGCTGGGATTACAGGTGTGTGCCACTACAATTGTCTCTTTAAAATTAATCAATTAAAGTCTGACATAACATGGTGCGTTTTTCTTTTTTTTTTAAAAATGCCTTTATTTATTTTTATGTGGTATTGGGGATCAAACCCAGGGCCTCGCCCATGCTAAGCAAGCACTCTACCTCTGAGCCACAACCCTAGCCCAACATGGTGCGTTTTTCTGATGAGATGGAGAAACATCGCACAATACTCAAAGAGTATGAAAGAAACATGTAGAGAAAGAAAACAAAAAAGGATGAAAAGTTAGGGGTACAGAGAAGAGAGCTTCTTGTACCTGGGGTCTAAAAACTGCAACAGGAAGAGCCAAGCTCTTGGGGCAGAATAAACAGGAAGGTTTGGGTGGGTAAATCTTCCAAGTTTTGAACTGCTGCATGAGAATAGATGGCCTAAACACAGCTCTTCCACAGAACTCCAGGGTCCTATTTCCAGTCTCCTGCCCTATACCCACCAATCTTCACACCCTTCAAAGACTACTAGTCTATCTCCCAGTTCCCACTGGCACTGGAATCCAAACAATACAAATGTTCTCACCGTCCAGATTCTGACTCTCCCTCTCCACAAAGCACTGGGTAGCTTGAAGGTCCAGATCTTCAGAATCTGGTGGGAAGTATAGGACCGATAATAAAAAAATCATATCTAACACTCAACACTTTACTTTAGCCCTATTATTCTCTCCCCACTCCTTTTAACCATTGTTTATTTCAAGAGCAAAGGAAGAAGAAAGGTTAGCACTTACCATCATGGCTGTCTTTGGAGTCCTTGGCCTCACTCATATGCGGTTTTTTCTCCTTTCCTGTAAGGGGATATCCCTCGCTCTGTGGTTGGAGGGGTTCCCCTGAAGTACCTGTGTGCACCACCATCTGCTGTACTTGTGATCCACCATAGGCCCCCACTTTGAGAGTGCCCTCTGACTCAAGTACAGCTGTAGCCCTCTCTGTCTCAGCATCCCCTTCTCCCAGAAGCTGGCTCTTTCTTACATCTGCCACTTCTGAAGACATGTCCACCTCCATATCTGTTTCACCATCCTCATCAGAAGACTGGACTGCCTCTAGAGGCATTATGGGCAGCTTTGCTGATTCCTGCTTCGCTTCCTTATCTGTTTGATTTGTCCCCTTCACAGGCACTTGATGCTTTCCCCAACATATAACAGCTGGCCCTGATGGAACTTCCTGTTTCACTTCTATGTTGATGTCCCCTGTGGTGGAGGCAGCTTGGCTTCTCTCCAGAAGGACCCCTGGTGAACTCATATCTGCTTCCTCACCTACATCATTGTCTCTAAGGGGAGTTTGTCCGTTTTCTGAATTTGCTATAACAAGGGTTTCTTCCTTGTCTGTTTGACCATTGAGGACAGTTTCTCTCTTTTCCACTGGGAGCCCCTCCTCCATGTCAGTGTCACTATCTCTCTCAGAGGTGGTTAGGCTTTTCTCCTGAAGGAGCACAGGTTGGACTCTGTCCTTTTCAATATCAGCATTTCTGTTCCATGAAACAGCTCCGCTCTCTTTCAGACGTGCTAAAGTGAGTGCTGCTGAGACTTCTTCTTCATCATCTGTATCACTATCAATCACCATAGAGGTTTGGCTTCTTTCCAGAGGGACAGCCAATGGGGCCTCACCCTCCTCCATGTCTGTATCACTACCAGCTGGGCTCTCCTGAAGATGTGCCAATCCAAGTGTTCCAGGACTTCTTGTACCAACTCCATGGAAGACTTGCCTCTTCTTCATAGGCACTACAGCTGGGGTTGCAGGGATCCCCTCTTCTTCCACATCAGTATCACTATCCAAGAAGCCAGAAGGCTGGACCCTTTCCAAGTGGGCCTCAGCTGTCTTTCCAGGAGGCCGGTTCTCTTCATCCACATCTGTGTCACTATTGTCCCCAGGAGGCTGACTTCTTTCCAAAATCACCCCAACTGGTACCACCCTATTCCCTGTATCCCTTTTGACTTTTGGGTCCTTATCGATCTCTCCTAGAGGCTGAACTTTTCCTGGCCACGTATCAGTTGTAATTCCACTGGCTTCAGGCTGCTCTGCCTCTGCTGCAGCACATTTTCTAGCAGCTGAAGAGGCCTCCCTGGCTGCTGGTTGCTGACCTTCTTCCTCATCTGTGTCACTGTCCAAGTTGAAGGCAAAAGAGTCACCGCCAAGGACCGCCAGGGAAGGTCCTTCTTCATCACTGTGAAACGGAAAAGAAAGAGTCTAAAGAATTTCTTGGAAAGGGATACCCCACTTAACTATGAGTTGTAGCACAGGTAGTATTTGCTCTTCTATCTCCAGCTTGGTTCATCTAGGTGCTCCATAAAAAATAAGCTGAGTGAATGAATATATAAAAACCCACAGCCTCAACTTTCAACGTGATCATCTCTGTTAGAGACTGATCCTCCAGACCCTGGTTCTTCCTATTTGAAGACTCATATATCTAGCCCTGTGGTACTTACCTTTCTGGAACTACTGTTGCCAAAGAGGAGGATGTGGTCCGTGATTCTTTCACCACACACCCTTTTGAGAAATCTGGCAAGAACAAAAAGGAGTAACTTGACAATATCACACTCATCATCCCTGTCTCTTCATCCACACTGCCAATACACAAACTTACCTACTTCCTCCTCTGAGTCCTCAGCCAAGGGAAGTCTGGAGGGCTGAGTTTCTTCCTGTACCCTGGGGGTCGCCTCTACAGTTAGGGGACCCCGGGAAACACAGGGTGGGCGGACATCCAGGCGATGGTACTGGCAGGGTAAATCGGCAAAGAGAATCAATTCCTGATCCCTGAGACGGTGACTCAAACCAGGGCTCAGGACCTTAGGAGGCCTCAAGATTTGAGTACCATTAAGGCTCCCACAATCCTGGAGGACAGGTGCCTTGTTCCAAGCTGAGATTTCAATCACTGCATGTTGTTTGGAGATGGATGGAAAGGGCAGGGTCACAGAGCAGTCAGGCAGTCGGCCTATCACATTCTTCCCGAGGAATAGTGGAAAATCTAAAAATGAGAGAGGTAGACAGGTTCCAAGGCCAGAGTCCTGGCCTGTCATTAGGAAAATCTTCTAGTTAAATACCCTACTACTTTCTCAAAGCTCCCAAAAGCATTAGAAAAATAAAAAGTCCTAGAACATCCAGGTGCAGTGGTTCATGCCTATAAATCCTATAACTTGGGAGACTAAGGCAAGAGGATCGCAAGTTCAAAGTCAGGCTCAGCAACTTAGTGAGTTCCTAAGCAACTTAGCAAGAACTTGTCTCAAAATAAAATACAAAACCAGCTGGGAATGTGGCTCAGTAGGTAAGAGCCTCTGGGTTCAATCTCTGGTATCCTGCCCCCCCCCCCCCCAAATTCCTAGAAAATCTAGGAATTGAAGAATATATGCGGGCTGGGATTATGGCTCAGCGGTAGAGCGCTTGCCTAGCACAGGCGGGACCTGGGTTAATTCTCAGTACCACATAAAAATAAAGGCATTGTGTTGTGTCCATCTACACCTAAAGGAAAGAAAGAAAAAAAAAATATACCTATGCAATGCATTATTCATATGCAACCCATCTACATGGGGATTTTTTTCATTATATAAAATATACATAATATAAATTTACCTTTTTAGTCATTTAAAGCATGCAGTTCAATAGTATTAAGAACACATTGTTGGGGCTGGGGCTGTAGCTCAATGGTAGAGCATGTGCCCAGCATGTGTGAGGCACAAGTTTGATCCTCAGTACCACATAACAACAAATAAATAAACAAAGGTATTGTGTCCATCTACAACTAAAAAAAAAAAAAAAAAAAAAAAAAAGAGCACATTGTTGTGCAATCATTACTACCTCACTACCATCCATTTCCAGACCACAGTAGGTTTTTGGTAGTTTTATTTTTTTGTTTTTGGTACTGAGGATTAAACCTAGGGGCATTTAACCATGAGTTATATCCCCAACCCTTTTGCTGAGGCTGGCTTTGAACACATGATCTTCCTGCCTCAGCCTCTTGAGCCTCTGGGATTACAGTTGTGTGCCACCACGCCAGCCACAGTAGATTTTTATTTGATCCTCTTCATCTTCTCCTATCAACGTAAAATAACTCCTAGAGTGTCCAGGGCTGTAGCCTAGAACAATCATCTGTCAGTCCCCTTTTATCCAACCTAGTAAAACAGTTTTTCATATTTCCTTGAAACAAATGTAAACTTGTAACTCTCCAACCAAGAAAAATAAAAGACCTATATCCATACTTCAGCACTCAATACCCTCTGACCTTTTTCTGGTCCGTGGGCACCACTGAAGATATGCAGTCGTCCTATAGGCTCCAAGATATATCCTGAGGATTCATTAGATTGCTCTGTCTCTTCCTCTTCTTCAACATCCCAGTCAACGGCCTGGGTGTCTTCCATGGTCTGGGAAGGAAACACATTATCATCATCCCCATTACTTGTTCATACACAGCATCAGAGAGAATGATAAGTAGGGATAAACCTGGATAGTAAAAGTAATTGATGCTTCTCTTCCCACCAATCACTCTATTTCTATCCTTCTGAAGCATTTAAAAAAAAAAAAATATTCTGGGGTGGCTATATGTGTTAACTCAATGGTACAGCATTGGCCTAGCAAGTGCAAGGCCCTGATTTCAGTCCCCTGCAATATTGATTTTAAAAAGTCTTTTAAGTTGGGTGCAACAGTAAATGCCTATAATCCCAGCTACTCAGGAGGCTGAGGCAGTAGGATTTCAAGTGCCATACCAGCCTGGACAACTAAGCAAGACCCTGTCTTTAAAAAAATAAAAAGGGCTGAGGATAATGCTCAGTGGTAGAATGATCTAGCATGCATGGGACTCTGGGTTCAATTTCCAATACTGGGTATTGAACCAGTACTGGGATTTGTGGTACTGGGGATTGAACCCAGGGGCACTTATCACTGAGCTACATCTCTAGCCCCTTTTATTACGTTTTTTGGTTCCAAAAATTGAACCCAGGGACATTTAACCATTGAACCACATCCCCAGTCCTTTTTATATTTTATTTTGAGACAGGATCTTGCTAAATTGTTCAGAGTCTTGACAGTTACTGAGATTGGTCTTAACTTGTAATCCTCATGCCTCAGCCTCCTGATTCACTGGGTTTATAGGTGTACGTCACCATGCTTGGCTAAAATAACTTATTATTTATTTATTTATTGTTACTGAAAATTGAACCCAGGGGTGCTTTACTACTGAGCTACATCTCTAGCCCTTTTTGTCTTAGCCCTTAGGGTCTCACTAAGTTGCTCATGGCCTCAATAAATTGCTAAAGCTGGCCCTGAACTTTCAATCCTCCTGTCTCAGCCTCCTGAGTTGTTGGGATTACAGGTATGCACCCTTGCCCCTGAAATTTTTTTTTTTTTTACTATGACACAAAGTAAGAAATATCACAATGTTCCAAGTATAAACTATATACAAATATGTGCTTTTCAAACCTAAAATAAAACTGAAAACTGGGCATGATGCAGCAGGAGAATCACTGAAGCCCAATAGCCTAGATCTAATAGCCTAGATACCTTGGCAAGGGTCCACCTCAAGAAAGTTTTGAGAACTGGATGTGGTGATGAATACTTGTATTCCCAGTGACTTGGGAGGCTGAGGATTGAGTCCAGGGGCACTCTACCACTGATCTTTCTTATTTTTTTAATTTTTAGTCAGGGCCTTGCTAAGCTGCCAAGGCTTATGATCCTTCTGCCTGAGTCTTCTGAGTCACTAGGATTACAGGCCTATATTTACATGCCCAATTCACTATAGTTTTTAAATGCTGATTTCAACCCACTAAATTGATTTCACCATCCACTACTGGAGTGCAACTCACAGTTTGAAAAACCATTTTGCTAACATGTGCCAAGCATGTGTTGGGTATTATATTGTCAGGCACAGTAGTCAGCTAATGCTAAAACATTAAATAACTTGCTCAAGATAACACAGCAGATAGGTGGGCAGACAGAAATAAATATGCTTCTGATTGCAAAGCCCACTTTTTACACTGTATCAAACCGCCTCAGTGTAATCAGACTGAAGTGTAAAGAACATAACAGCTGGTATACACAAGAGGATTCTATGTGTCAAGCACTGTTCTAAATAGTTTATACTGACTCATCTACTGTTCCCTGTAAAGTAGGTATTATTATTCTCCTTTTTCCCAGATAAAGAAACTTCAACATAGATGGGTTAAGGGACTTGCCCAAGATCATCCAAATAATCTCTCTCCCTGTATAATAGTCTCTTGATGGCTTTCAATGCCCATAGCATAAAATAAAATCTAAACTTTTTAGCAAGGACTCTATGATGTAAATCTTATAACCTTCACACTACTTCCAAGACTGGATCAGTGAACTGTGTCTTATCCCTAGGGTCCATCATTCATGTTTATGGTTATGGTGCACCTGGCACAGTTGGAAGTATTCAGGATACATCCTGAACCAAACATAAACATGAATCCTACCCTATGGAAAAGACATCATCGAGCCTACTGATGAAAGAAGAAATAAAAGAAGGTAGAAACTCAAAATAGCATGAGTGGAATTTACCTAGAAAGATGCCACCCTAGAGGAAAACTGTTGCTAGGAAAAAGAGGACGCCCCCATGGAGAAAGTGTTAATTCCGTCCTTTTGACGCGCCAATTCAGCGATGCCCACGACCCCTGGCTCCAATTCCAAGGGCCAAGATCTTTGATCCCCCACACCCCAATGGGTTCCCTCGTAGCCCAACGTCTTTCTGTGTGCTCATACCCGGCTCAGGGCTCCAGACAAGGATGAGTATTACAATCTAAGAAGCAAATTTCTAAATTACCTCCACCCAGTCGCACCCAAGGCACGCCCCTCCCGCCCTCCGGAGGAATCAAGATGGTACCCGGGGAGCCGAGGGCGAGGCCCCCAGAATTTACCTACTTTGAGTCGCCGCGCGCGCCACCAGTAACGGCCGTGACCTGGGTGGCGCGAGTGCGTGTCCGGAAGGGACTTGAATCGCTGATTGGCTCTTGTAGCTGTCTTTCACATGCTGCAGTCGCTGATTGATGAAGCTCCCAGAACACAGGCACTTTCGAAGGTCCGCCCTTTCCCCGCCCCCTCACGGCTCAAACGGGAGACTGCTCGCAGGGGACTGGTAGTTAAGGTAGAATATAATCCGAGGCCGCCAGGAGTTTACGGAATAACGCACCACGATTGGGCAGCTCCAAGGGACAACCCATTACCGCCCACTTCCCGCGCAGATTTCCAAACCGCGACCAGAGAGTCTGGCGCCAGAGAATGCTGGCAGCAGATAGAAGGGCTCTACCATAGACGTCTACCGAATCCTGCATCCAGAGCGCCCTTCCGCGGTCCTCCCAGACATGGAGTCCGCTGACTCATGAGACATGAAAATGGGTTGCGGTTGCAGTCGTGGCTCGAGGCTGCAGTTTGGAGTATAGCCCGTAGGCGTGGCGCTTGAGGACTACTCATTGCAGCGGAATTTAATTTCCTTTTAATTTGTTTAGTAGAAATCATGTCATTTGTTCATGGGAATATATCCCTGACGGACATTTTGAGGTCATTTTCCTAAATGGAAGAACCTAAAGCAAACGTTTCTAGGCAAACAGAGAATGCTGTTTTGTTAACATCTTAAAAAGTCTGTGCTTCCCTTTCAAGAGACGAGGAAAGAATGAAAAAATCATTTACTTAATTTCATAAGACATGAAGAGAATAGTGAGAATTTGACACGTGCATAATCTAGTAAGATCTGTATCTTAACTGTGTCTAGAACAAATATACTAAAATTGACTTCATAAACGAAGCATTGAAGCTCTGTGAAATTAAATAACGTGCTTAGGTTCCTGAAGACTAATTGAATCAAATTCTCTATAATTTTAAATTCTGAATGTCTTTCCTCTAACGCTGTAACTGCTTTCATTGCAAGCGCACCCTAGACATTTAAAACATGTTTTAAAAGAGTAGAGGGGCCTTATATAATTTGATGTTCCTTTATTTATTAAGTGACTTAGAAAAGGGTATTGATCTGTGTATTGGTCAAATGTGAATGAATGATCTTATTCATTTATTTGTTACTTTTAGGTGGACATAATGTCTTTATTTTTTTATATTTATGTAGTGCTGGGGATCGAACCCAGTGCCTCATGCATACTAGGCTAGCACTCTACCACTGAGCCTGAGCCATAACCCCAGCCCCTTCCCCCCAATTAATGATTTTTTTACCACATTATTACTGTTACACCACCTTCTTGTTAATACACTTCTCAAGATTCTGTGGGTCAAAGAACTAATTCTTTTTTTTTTTTTTAGAACTAATTCTTAAACATTTTTGAATCCATAGTATCCTGCTTTGGTGGATACTTGGTATCTATCAAATGAATGACTCACTGGGAAGAAGCAGAGAGGTTCATACTTGAGCCCATCCCATTTTCCTCCTCCCCACCTTTTAAATCCTGAGGCTTTGCAATAGCCACACCTAGTCACTGAAATTAGAAAACTGAAAAATTACTGACTTCATCTCAGAGTCTAATAAAGGCAGGCTGGGAAGACACTGAAATTCTATCAGCAACCTCACCCCATAGTTCCCTTTTGACAAGATGACCAAGGTGTCCTCAAACTCTACCTTAAGGCCCTGATCCCCTCATGGACCAAGAGAGATTTCTAGCTCCACAAATCCCAGATCTCAGCTTCACTAAACTATTCAATTTATTCTTTCAACATTCCTTCCAGACAACCTCTCTATTCTGAAAAGCACTTGCTACAATTTTTTTTCTTTTTTAAGATTAATTACGAAGGATGGTTATGGGATCATTTGCACTCTCCATCCTTAACCAAGCTTTGCCTTCTTACTCAAAAGTCCCAAAGAAAGAGGAGGATAATCCCTTCCTTATTCCTGTGAGGTGTCTGGGGGAACGGGGTTTTTACTGAAGTTTATGCCTAAGGTCACCAAAGGACTAGATGTATGTAGCATAAGAGGGTACCACAGTTCTTCCAGTTTTCGCTGAGCTAAGCAGTCCTGTCTCCCCGAGAGCTACCGCAGTGGGCAGCTTTCAGGGCGTGCCTACCCCACCTCCTAGCTCCTGGAACCCCAGACTCCCACATACCAAGAACGATTTCATTTTTTCACAAACAAAAAAACCCCACAAAAACCTCTGACATAGAAAGAATCTTGTGCAAGGTCATTTTTCATTAAAAAAATAAGAAAACCACAAAAAGCAAAATACCAAGTACCCACCCATTCGTAACTTCATTTTGCAGCGTGGACAACAATAGAGGACTACGACTCCCAGAGAGAACTGCGCTAGTGCACTGGCGTAGAAACCAATGGCCGTTTGGTACATGATCAGCATCGACTAATCAGCGGCAGGCTGGAGAAGGCTTTGTCTCCCCGCCGCCCAGCGGGTGCCGTTCTCCCGCCTCCCATCCCTGGCGCACGCGCGCCCCGCCTTGCCCGCCTTCCCTCCTTCGCCCTCCCTGCTCTTCTGCCTCTCAGAATCTTCCTGCCGTCGCGTTCGGATCTCGCTGCTCCATCCTCCCGGGCACGTTCCTTCTTTCAGCTCGCGACCAGCACAGAAAACGAATTACATATTTCCTTGTCCCGAGCATACATTGAGGCGAGCAAAAATAAATTAAAATAAATTCTAGCCATGAGGGAAATCGTGCACATCCAGGCCGGTCAGTGTGGCAACCAGATCGGTGCCAAGGTAAGAATTTTAAGCCTCTCCTTTTAATTATATTTCTTAGAAGAAAAATCCCGATTAATTTACGAAGGATGGTTATGGGATCATTTGCACTCTCCATCCTTAACCAAGCTTTGCCTTCCAAAAGTTTTTTACTTGTAAGGATACATTTGTAGTAGTAGCATTTGATTTTGAAAAGATGGGCAATTTATTTTGGCAGGCACATTTTTGGGGGAGTGCTACTAAAAGGACCTTTCAGGTTTGGGGGCCTGGAAGACCCAGGATCTGTAAGGGTTTTCTTAAAGGAGATTTTTCTAACGGTCCAAGGACCAGGGAGGAGTGATGCGGAAACGGTCCGAGACAAAGCGAGGCGAGGTTTTCCCCATGTGGATCCCGCCTCCCCCCGCTTGGCGGGGATTTGTAGAGCAAAACTGGCGGGGGAAGGGTTGAGGCTGGGCGGGCAGCTGCCGAAAGTCCCAGTGCAAAGGTGGGGAACACTGCACCAGGGTGGGCTACACTACGCGCAACCTTCACAAAGGATCGGAGACCTCGGTGTTTCTGCGATACCCGAGGGGCGTTCCCGTCTTTTTATGTGGATGGAGAATAATATATATAGGGGCTTCCTTTAACTTTCATTGCCTCTAAGACCTTTTAGGGCGTCAACACATTCTTAGAGAAGGTGGAAGGGGTGCTTCTATTAAGTAATTCCCTCTGTACCAAATATTGGAGAAAGAATAAAGCAAGTTGGGGGGGGGAGGGAAAAAAACTGGCCAGAGAATAAAATTCCGAGGCCTTAGGGGATTTTTTTTTTCTTTTTCTTTCTTTTTTTTTTTTTTTTGCGCGCGGTTACAGTGTAGCGGGGGAGGGGCAGGAGGAAGTGCGGCTGCTACGTTGTAGCCGAAGGGCGGGGTCCTGTGGGGGGCGGGGCCCAGGCGCCCCTGGAGCACGGGGACAATGCAGCCCTGCCCGCCGGCGGGGACGCGCTAGCTGGAGCGCAGTCCCGCCCCTAAGCGCGCGGAATTTGCCTTGAGCCCCGCCCGCGCGCTACATCTCCTTTTGTCGGATTCTTTAAGTGCGCTTGCGCTGCCATCACGTGGAGGGAGGGGGTGGTCGACTGCAAAAGCCCTAAGTGGCTCAGACACGGCCCTTTTAGTACGGCATGCAGGGGCGGTTCCTACAAGGGGAACGGATAGCCCTTCCATGCGTTCACTCCCACGTTAGCGAACGCCAGGCCTTCCAGCAGCATATCATCTTAACATCCCGAGCAACGAAAGCTACCACTTTCCTGAATGTGCAAGTGTCTAGGGCAAAGGTGTGGCAGGCAGATAACGGAATGCCAAGCCTTAGAACAGGGCTTACCACTAACCCATCTGGAATGTAGATCCCGTGAAGAGGCATATTTGCGTGGGTTTTGCACTACTTAGGGCTCATTGCTTTTCCTTGGCAGTTCTGGGAGGTGATCAGTGATGAACACGGCATCGATCCCACTGGTACCTACCATGGGGACAGTGACCTGCAGCTGGACCGCATCTCCGTGTATTACAATGAAGCCACAGGTGAGGGCAGGAGCCCAGGAAAGTCGGGTTTTGTTTCTTTAACACTTCTACAGGATCTCTTTCTATTCGTTCTTTTTACATTAGTTTAATAAATTTATGGTACCAGGGATTGGACCCAGGGGCGCTTAATGTTTTATTTTTGAGGTAAGATCTCGCTAAATTGCTGAGGCTGGCTTTAAATTTGAAATCCTCCTTTCTCGCCTCCCAAGCCTCTGAGTTTAAAGGCGTGTGCCACCACGCCCAGCTATTTTTTAATTGTATTTTGAGACACTGTCTTACCTAAGTTGTCCTAAGCTGCTCTCTAACTAGTGAGAGCAGCGTAGGCTCCGTCTCCCAAGCAGCTGGGATTACAGACATGAGCCAGTGTTTCCGCTGTTTCCTTTCTTGGGGGCCCATTGTCCCCTTTGGATGAATCCATCATTTTCCTCTTTAGACACCCACCATAAAGGGGCCAAAGACTAGCTCTGCTGCCACCTGGTGGCTGGGCTTGGCATGACAAATTTAAATATGAGGCTGTTTCCTAACAGCAATTGCTTAACCTTCCCCACTGCCAGCTCTCAAACATCTACCTGATTCTCTCTAGGTGGCAAATATGTTCCTCGTGCTATCCTGGTGGATCTAGAACCCGGGACTATGGACTCTGTTCGCTCAGGTCCTTTTGGCCAGATCTTCAGACCAGACAACTTTGTTTTTGGTGAGTTATGCAGATGTTATTAGTGATATTCTTTTATTTAGGTGCAAGAAATAGCAAAAGTTAGATGATTATTGCACTGGAGAGTTACAGGAAATCTGAAATGGAGGGTGGAGGCAAATGACTATTTGGGATATTATGAAAATATATCACAGGTGAAAGAGAAAGGAGCTACCTCTAAGGGAATTTTCCTAAAAGTTGAAAGGTAGAAACATGTACATTCCAAACCTTAA